ACATTTCCAAATTGGCTAGCTGGAAGTAAAGCCCATGTTTAAAGATGCATAATTAAGAACACAATTCCAAGCACAATTCGGTACCTCTTCTGATGCTCTTAAATGATAAAAGTAGACAGTTTCTGAAAACAAATGTATGTTTTTGCAAATCCTGTTTGCCTGTGCTCGAGGTGGCGTTCTACGTTTTGTAGAGTTTCTTGGTTGGAAGAACTCATTCCTTACAAGATCCGTCCGTCAGAGTTCTTTGAAGGACTCAGCACATTTGTTGAAAAGGATGATTCAGACAATTTATTATACTTTGGTTTTCAAAAACACTTTGACGTGGTTCATAACGCAAGGTTTTTAAAGAAACTGTGCTGATACCCTAATGGCGATTTTCTTTTCGAATGCCTGCCTGAAAAAAAAGTAAGAAGAAAAGGCAGGAGTAAATACCTCCCCCCCACCCAATGTATAGTGTGAAATCATTAGATGATAGTGTGGTCTTATAGCAAATAGATGACTAGAGGAGTTCCCCAAATCATCTGTACTGAAACCTGTGGTATACAGCCAATTCATAAATTACCTGGAAAAGGGGATGGATAATGAATTTGCTTAGAATACAAAATTGAGTGAAGATTTGCAGAGAGGTCTCAGGAAAGATGCAACTGGACAATAAAATAATAGATGAGATTTAGTGTTGGTAAACGCAGAGTGATGAGTGCAGGGGAAAATAACCTCAACTATTCATACAAATAGATGGGCACAGTATTACATTAGCTATTGCCACTCGGAAAAGAGATTTTGAAGTCTCTTTGGATAGTTCTATGGAAATGTGTGGTCGGGGTTCAGATGAAGGCAAGACAAATAGAACGCGTTGTGTATTATGGAAGGAATAAGGAAAAAATAAAAACAATATTGTGCTAATGTGTAAATTCAAAGCATGCTTACATCTTTTTATATAAATATATATATACACACACACACACACACACACAATATGCATGCAAGAGAATGAAAAAAATGACTAAAAGTATAGAATAGATCCTATGTTGAGGACAGACAAAACAGCCTGTGGCTTCTAGATAAAAGAAGAGATAATTTGGGGAATACGGAAAAAAGTCAATAAAATCATGATGGCAGGTTGGCAAAACGGCATAGGAAAAGTAGTGAGTAATCTGTTAACTGCTGTCAAAACATATGAATTAGGTTGCAGGAACTAGGTGTTGCAATAAGCAAGTAAAATGCAGTATTTTCTTGCACAGTGCCTAGTTAAATTGGGCAATAAAGCATTTTGCTACAGTATTTTATAAAGGGTGTAAGCATTAATCGTTCAAAAAGGGATTAGACGCATTCTTGGGAAAAGGGTATGTTTGTGTCCTTTAAACACATCAGTCTGGATCTAACCGGCAGCTCAGAAAGTTTCCTGAGCCATTGATTGCTGGAAGCTAGGAGATGTCTGCTTGTCTTAGTCTTATGCGTCACTGCTAGCAGCCATTATCGGGACAGGATAGTTAGCTAAATACACGTTTGGTCTGACCCAGAATGCCTGCTTGTTTTTTGAGAACACCAGATTTCCTGCTCTTAATTTCAGGTGTTAAAAGGTAAATATATTTTAGCAGAAGCTAAAAGGATTATTACAAGAACAATTACTCTTGTAAGCCAAGCCCTTGGATTTCTACTATGGTTGCATTACCAGCTGAGCATAGCTTTCTTCTTCCTACCATTTTCCATTTCTGTTGAATACTTATACGTAGATACTTGGTTTTAAATTATAAAACATGTTATTTAAAGCACAATATTTAGCCAGTGACAACATGCCATAGTAAAATTCTTGCATGCATGTAATTTTTCGCTGGTCAACATCTACCTCTAATTTATGGCAATATTATTGATTCCATAGTGATTATTGTGATATTTGAAGTATTTTTATATAACAGCAATTCTGTTAGAATGCTTAAGGTTGGTTTTGAATCCTGAATTTCTTGACTAGACAATTTCCTTTATACTCGTTTTGTGTATCAAGTGAGCTTACTTAAGTTATGTAGCCTCTTTAGTTATGTTGTATCGGATAATGCTATTCAAAAATTGTTAGTTGCTAGTCAAAACATCCGAGTAAAAAATTTCTTTAGACAAAACTGATTTTATAAATATGAACATCATTTTTTAACTACTGCTTTCCAGAGAAAATATTGCTGTTTTACCCAATTTGCAAAAGTTTTTTTGAGTGGCACCTCAAAAGCTGCTGTAGAAAATTAAAATTGATGTTTAAATTAACTGAGATGAACTGTGAGTGAAAAAAGGAAGAATTAGTAATGATTTCTACAGACCTTAACTTCAAAAGTAAATTCAATTTCTCTAGGAGTTCTGTACAGCTACACAAGTTATTATATTTATCTTAAGTACAAGAAAGAAAAGAGTTAACAAATTAAACATTGGAGCAATCAAGATTTGCATCGTGATTGTGTCAAGGAAATTGAATTCATCTAGTTAACTCCAGCCTTCTATATTTCTTTTTTTTTTTTTTTTTTGAAGCAGTGTTTAGCATTTAGAAAGTTATCGAACCTGTTGAGTTCCACACGTTATACCAGAGCTATTCTTCTCTCCTCATCAGAAAATATTCAGGCCTTGGGTTCCCGGGAAGGTAGGTCCACAGCAGACATCCTGGTGAGGGACAGACTTCGGTATGCTTGCTGTGATGGAATTTGCAGATGCAGCGCACAGCCAGAGTGCTGTAAAGCATAGTGCCAACTTAACTTTTTTTTGTTTTTTCCTAAGAGGTTTTTCTGTTATTCTTACTCTCTTATCTTCTCCATCCCTCGCCCATTCCTACATTTTTTGCTGAGGTCCCTTGAGGATTTGTAGCTATTCCATTTTGAGTGGGGAAATATGTTTATTTTATCAGTGTCTTTCCTTTTAAACTGCATGCTCGATAATCAGACTTGCCCTTGGCATACATGTATGTACATAATTTGGGATATTTAAAAACTGACAAAATTAAGGATTCTGTTCTAGACGCAGTCGTTAATCCTTCCTTTGCCTGTCACTGGTTGATGAATTTAGAATAACCGAGATACACAGCTGTTAACAGCAAATAAACCAAAAAAAATATTTGTCATACTGTTTTGTACTAAAAGCTCTGTCTACTTTGAAATTGTCATGCACTGTCTCTATTTATCAGCACACTTCAAAGTGCATTAAATGTCTCATCTTTCCTGATGCATGAACTTAACCATTTACCTGTGATATGGAGGTTCTTTGTCTGAACCTGAAGAAGAAAAGTGTTCCGTCAAACAGCTGGCTTAAAAAGGACTTAGCCTGACATGATTTTGCAGACTCATTTCCACCCTCGGCCATGGGTTAATTCCCTTTGCCTCAGAAAGGGATTTAAATTCACTCGTTTTCCTTTAACGAACTGGATTAGGAAGGTTTGCCTGATGTCATGGCAAAACAAAGTAAACAGCAACCCGTACCAGGTTCAGCTACGGGGGTTTAATTAGGAGCCATTGATACTAGAGCCTGTAAACACGCGTAGATGCGTGCACACGGGCGCAGTCGCTCGGTCTCAACCTCACTTTTGGCTGGGGTTGCTGTGGGTCGAGGAGGGCTGGGCGAAGGGGCGCCCAGTCCTGGCAGCACAGCTGCTTGTCCTCGGCCTTGGGGTCACCCGCTGCGTTCGGCTCCTTAAGGATGCCGGTGCTGGATCCATCTTGATGGTCCCCGGGGCCTTGTGGCCATCAAGGATCTTGTCTCCACGTACCCTGAAAGCCGATGACATGGCGCTAGCACGCCTGGCTCTGCTGGCGTTATTTCTACCTGTGCTTACTGACACTAGGGCCTACTTACGCAGCCACCCAGCGTCCCTTGGATTTCTGTTGTCCCTGTTGCTTTAAACATACAGCCCACTTGGAAGTGCAAGAGCATCTCTGGCTACACTGCTAATGTATCAATGCTTGCTTCCTTGAATATGCTGCCATTATAATGGCATAGTAATTGAAAAAGTGACCGACAACTCTTGGTTTGTCTGAAGTTTGTGCACACAATAGTATTTTGGCTAAAATCATTTTCCCCAGTAATAAAACTGATAAAATGAGAGAAAGAGGGTTTTATTTTTTTCTCCTTAGAGGTCAGTGTATCTGAAAATAGGGGATTGAACGGGTAGACTAAAAAAAAAAAAAAAGTTGCATTGAATTTCATTCAAGCTTCTTTACTGCGCCCAGTTCCCTGGGCAACTGGAACAGGTTGCCCAGGGAGGTTGTGGAGTCTCCTTCCCTGGAGATACTCAAAAGCCATCTGGACACGATCCTGGGCAACGTGCGGTAGGCGACCCCACATGAGCGGGGGGGTTGGACTAGATGATCTCCAGAGGTCCCTTCCAACCTCAGCTCTTCTGTGATACTGTGAATTCTTGAGTAAGAATAGTCATTAGTAATTCACTGTCCAGCTTGCAGTAATAAAGGCAGAGAAATTCTCAGTCATGTTGAGATTTTGAAATGTATTAAAAATAAGTAATTAAAAATGATATTTGGACTGTATTTACAATAAAAAAGCCATCTGTAGTGTGAGGGAAGATGATGAATGTGACATACCGCTTAGAATTGAAAACGCAATTCCAACAGGAGCTACGGAGACGGGCACGTTTTTTAAAATCTTGGGCCACTTATTTAGAAATTGACCGGTGAACACAGGAACCTAACCTTATACCCTGTATTTTAAAATCTTGGTAATGATACCTTTCAGATTTCTACTTTTGTCAAATAAGAAAAATTAGATCTGAATAGTTAGAGATGGGCCAAGATATCAGAGCCGGGAGCGTGCTAGAAGTGCTAGTAGAACTTGGAGTCTCCTTTCTCCCCAGACTACCAGGTTCTGCTCCTTTTTACAACTGTTGAGCAAACAGTAGTCTCTCATATTTTTTCAAACCTACAGGAGAACAAATATGAGCCACAGTGAGGAAAATTAGCTTTACTGCCTTTAATTATCTTTTTAAAATTACTAATCAAAGTCTTTTTTCTTTCCCAAAGCCTTTCCTTGCTCTTATGAATCTTCACTGTTCACCAGACGTCCAGACATTTCTGTGCAAAGCATTTGTCCCTGCCTGCCTGGAGCAAGTTCATGTGATTCACCCTTGTCGAAGCCTCTGTGAGCAAGTATATTCTGACTGTAAACAATTGATTGATACTTTTGGTATCGTATGGCCTGAAGAGCTGGAATGTAACAGGTATGGTATCTTATCATGTGGCAGATAGTGGAGGTGATATTTTCAAACATACCCTATTTGACCTGGACTAAATTGGAAATCTGAGACATATGTTAAACAATATTTTGCTGTAGCCTCCACATCAGTGGAGACAATACAGTGTTGAGTGCACAGGAGTATTTTTTAATAAAACTTTTTCATTATTAATATGACCACCTGCATTTCCTGTGAGCGATTTTGATTCCAGTTGCAACGGAGTTCTGCAGCTGTGAATGCCCTTCACTATTCGGATCCCTGCAGAAGCTTTTTTCTACATACGCTTAAAACTTAAATGAAGCATTAAATGTTACAGCATAGATTTCACTCTGCTTTCTCATCTCTGAACTAGGGATAATAATACCTACTTCACAGGGGTTTTATAAATGATTGCTCATATAAAATGATGAAACATAAAACACTCTATTTGAATGCGCACACAGCCCTAATCACGTAAATGAGCAGATTAAATCTTCTTGTATTTTTCCTGTGCTGTGTGCCAAAAGTCTGCTTTTTCCACAAAGATTTCACCTTTTTCTCAAAGTATTTCAGATCTTTGTTCCAGAGAGAGAAGACAGTTAATACTGCATTGGGGGAAAAAATGGACTCTTTATGTATTAAATGGAAACCACTGAAAACACTTTATTACATTCTTCTTAAGGTTCTGACCCTCACCTGGAGATATTTATAAATATTTAAGGCCAGGTGTTTTTTTTATTTAGCACATGGAAGTGCAAGAAGTAGAAAAAAGGAGTAAGTGCTGGAAACTTAACAAACCATGTGTCTAACCTCCGTACAGTTGCTCATTTGTGATGGGGCTACAGGAGAGCAGAAACAGTCCCTGCGCCATGATTCCTGGTAGAAATCCATATCCAAATGATTATGACAGATGGCATTAACTCTCTTGCCCTTAGTCCTGTGGAAAAATTTGAGTGTGGATTTTTGAGAGCTAGGTGTCAACTTTTCCATCTAGTGTGAGCTTCTGCATAACAGTGCCACTCAGTGCAGCAAATGTTTTCCAGAATTATTTTGAAAAATTAGTAAACTTATTAGTTAATCTAGTTATTCAGTATGTGTTCCAAATGATATTTTTGATTAAATTCCTTTTTTACAACACTCTCTGCAGCTTTAATTTATTACTGCTAGTGTTTACTGAAAATTAACCTGCTCTGTGTCTTTGTGAAATCATCTCTGCCCAGTACCTCCTACGGAATAGTCCATAAAATACAGGATATTCTGGAAACAGCAAAGATGCTGCTGCTAGAATCCTCAGAAGATGGGCTGGCACGGGGATGGGCTTCAACAGGCAGTAACTATAATCCTGAGTTATGTGCACTCTTATTCCTACAGAAGTGCGCAAAGCCTGTTAAGACTTGGGTGACTACATTTGCGGTGTTCCTGTGCATACTGGTCTGTCCCATGGCTACTGAAACAATCTGTTACTGAATCAGTTTCCTTATTTTTTAGTCTGGCTTTATTTAGATTGCACAATAATGCAGAGGAACAAAAACAAGTTTTTAAGCTCAAGCTGAGCTAAAAAAATACTCTTGCTTTTAAGGTCAGCACATTTTTTGCAGACAGACCCTCATAATAGCATTTGTCCAAGAATGTTTTGAGATAACAGAATCTAACTTTAAAAGCTATAATGCAATAAATGTTATTTTAAACATTATGGTAAATAAATATACACTTTAACTCAGAATGCATATAAAGAACAATCCCATTTTGAGTAAATACTTACCTGTTTGACTTATGCTTACATAATCTAGCGTGAAGACGTGTACAACACTGCTAATCCTAGACTATGAATCATAAATATAGCTCACCTGTTTTGTCCAATTCAACCCCTGAGCAACTGAGCCTTGAGCAATTTTTAAATGAGCATTGCAGAGCTATAAAAATTACTAAAATACTGATCAGTTTCTGCCTTGGCTATCTGTTTCGCTTGTCTTTTTCAGTTAGGTAGTTTTTGTAGTACTGACATCAGCAATGAAATATTACCGTAACACAACAAGTCATAGTAATAGCATCTTATACTAGTCTTCAGTAAATCCTAGATACTGTCACCCTTCATTCCTTGTTCTTGATTGGAAGTTGTGTTTTGAGCGGATCATTTGCAGTGTGTCTCCAACAGTGTACTGTTATCCAGATAGAAAATCTACTGTAAATATTTTTATAGGCATCCATAAAATTTTGCTGTGGACTGAGACCATAAAGGAACAATTGCAACTTGAGTAGGAAGTGCTTCCTGACTAATAAATCATCGGATAGCGAGCAATAGTTAAATAGCTGTATTTGAATGTTCTTCTAAGCCAAAAATAAAATCTTAAGTCTACTATTTTTAACATGCCACCTGGTTTTATTCTCACAAGCCGTATTTTGCGTCATCTATAAAATTTAACAGAGCTTAGAAGCAGATTTTTTTCATATTTATAGAGAATAATTGTAAATTATAGTTGATAATGAGGGGCATTAAGATATTTTCTATTCTGTTAATTTATGTAGACTGGTCAACTGCGATGAGACTGCTCCTGCTACTGCTGCTGTAACTACAAATGTGCATGGAACTCAGAAGACCCCAGGACAGACCCGCAGAGATTACGGATTCTGGTGTCCACGACACTTGCACACTTCCAATGGACAAGGCTACAAGTTTCTAGGAATTGATCAGTGTGCACCCCCATGTCCCAATATGTACTTCAAAAATTATGAATTGGATGTTGCAAAAAGCTTCATTGGAATCGTTTCAATTTTTTGTCTTTGTGCTACACTCTTCACATTCCTGACTTTTCTAATTGATGTTAAAAGGTTCAGATACCCAGAGAGACCGATCATATATTATTCAGTCTGTTACAGCATAGTGTCTCTTATGTACTTTATTGGATTTTTACTTGGAAATAGAACTGCCTGTAACAAGGCAGATGATAAGTTAGAAATTGGTGAAACGGTGGTTCTTGGCTCTCAAAACAAAGCCTGTACTGTCCTCTTCATGGTTTTGTATTTTTTCACTATGGCAGGAACTATATGGTGGGTGATCCTTACGATCACTTGGTTCCTTGCAGCAGGAAGAAAATGGAGTTGTGAAGCTATTGCACAGAAGGCCATGTGGTTCCACACAGTTGCATGGGGGATACCTGGTTTTCTAACCATTATGCTTCTTGCAATGAACAAAGTTGAAGGGGACAATATCAGTGGAGTTTGTTTTGTGGGTCTCTACGATCTGGATGCATCTCTGTACTTTGTGCTTTTGCCATTGTGCCTTTGTGTTTTTGTTGGTCTCTCTCTTCTTTTAGCTGGTATTATCTCTTTAAACCATGTGCGGCAAGTCATACAGCATGATGGCAGGAACCAAGAGAAGCTAAAGAAATTTATGATCCGAATTGGAGTTTTTAGTGGTTTATACTTGGTGCCACTTGTGGCACTTCTTGGATGTTATGTCTATGAACTGGTGAATCGGAAAATCTGGGAAACAACTTGGGTCTTCGACCACTGTGACCAGTACCACATTCCTTGTCCTTATCAGGCAAGTGGCAGTTTTCTTCATAATTAGTACTGCAAGGTTAATTAGAGAAAACTCTTATGCATCACTATAGGGCAGTGCAGTTTAGTAGGTTATTTTCAGGTTAAATAATTCAAAAATTGCAATGATGAGTTGTTTTCAAGCCAAATTGCTGATCGTCTACTTTTGTTTTGAAAATTTTCACTAATCAAGTTAATAGCACTCAACAGTTAAATTCTAACTCACAGCTCTAAAGGGATTATGTAATCCTTAAAATACTTGAACTTAATGAAAAAAGTGTGTGCATGTGCGTGCATATATTCTTTCCACCCAGTGTCTATTGCTAAAAACAGTTGCTCTGCACGTTCTTACCTGGTTGTGTAGCTTGGTATCTCAGTACCTAAGGAGAATTTGCTTCAATTTCAGTTGAAATTGAAAAATACAGTCTTGAAAATTGAGTCTAAATTGGATTTAAAATGTTGCTTATAACCATAGATTTAAAATCACTTTTGTCTTTTTTTTTTTCCTGAAGCGTAGAAGTGTAAGACACTTGAAGCTAAAAACAAATTTCTAGGATATTTTTTGCATGACAGTTGTTGTTTGCAGGCTGATTTTCAGTAAAGTGAAGAGATAACCAAAAAAAAATTTAAACTTTAAATTGCTGAGATATTCTTATTTAACAGTAGGCTCTTAAAAAAAAAAACTTCCTTAGAAAGGCTTTTAAAGTAAAATTGAACATGTTCAGTACTCTCTGTGCATTACATTTTTTTTTGTAAATACCTAAAACTCCCTGTAACCGCAAGTAATTTGTGGTTTGTGCCGCCCCCATTTAAGCACAAATATTCAAGAAGAAACTATCACTAACAGAACTGTAGGTTTCTCAAGTCATCTTTCATTGCTTTGCACTTATCTATGTTTCTACTGCAATAAACTACCATTAAAAAGAGGAATATAAACACAAGCATTGTGCCATAAGGCTTGATCCTTCCATGTTCTTAAACATCTTCTATATCCTCTGTATTAAAAGCGATATAAGCTAAAAGTATCACAACTCATAGACTCCTTGGTTATTTTTGCTTCCATTAATGTTCTTGACAAGTGCGCTGTCTTCAGTGAGTTTTGCACTGAGCTTCATACCACACAAATGGCCCAAAATAAACAAGGCTGAAAACAAGCCTTTTGTTCTTTTTTTCAGTGCTTGTCTTGTAGTGCTTAAATATAGCAGCTAATATAGCAGCTTAGGATAATAAGGCATGAAGGACATCCATTCTCGTCCTTTAATTAACCTATTGGAAAGAGTAGGTAGGAGCAGGGAATGTTACACAAAAACATACTTAATTGGATCTGTCCCTATAATAAACAGCGTTTTCCAACTACAGAGCAGCTTAAAGTTGCACTCTCGGCCTTGGCTCACTTGAGCTAGCTTGCAGACTTCTTTTTGACGTTCATCAAGTCAAAACTAAATAAAAACAAACTTCAATTTAAGTAGCTAACGTTGCCTCGCTAACAGAAGTAGTGACTTTCATAGATGGAATTGGCAGATAAACCAGATAACATAAATTAAATTTGCAGCATGGGAGAAGAAGATAATAATCTCTTACTGAGTTAAATGTCTCAGCTGCTATGATTCTGTTCTGCAAAGAGGTGGATTAATTTTGCAATAAAGGGTAGAAAACAGCTATGCAGTTCCCTGCGGCTCCCTGAAGATGCTGTCTAATCTGATTAACTGTTTCTTTTAAGTTGAAGGGATGAAGCTCCTACATACGAACTGTCACTGAAGAACATGCTTACTAAAACTATTACTCCTGAAATTACCTTTCCATCCAATTTAATAGAAAAATATTTCCTTTAACTAATCTCCTCTCTGTCTTCAGCTATAGCCTGCAAGCAGACATTAACTAGGCCTGACTTGACTCAACATGTCTTACATTTGTCTACAGGACAAGCCTGAACAAAGGATACTTGCCATAAGGAGAAAGTGCATCTTTCACATAATTTGTTGGTTTTCTGCACTTAAAATATAGATGAACAAGTATGCTTTCTTCTGTGTATTTATTAAACTTTATTGCCTTCTAGGCAAAGGCATTAGCAAGACCAGAAATATTTTTGTTTCTGATGAAGTATCTACTGACATTAATTGTTGGCATATCTCCAGTCTTTTGGGTGGGAAGTAAAAAGACCTGTTCTGAATGGGCCAATTTCTTCAACAGAAACCGCAAAAGAGAGTAAGAACAATTCTTTTTTTTCCTTGGCTTTTCAGCGTATACTTTAAAATGTGTTGCATGCCAGACATGTTCCTTAAACATAGCTCAGGTAATCAAAGTGTTGTCTTTGTGCTCTTTCTTTTTTGGAGTTTAAATGCTGCATAGGGGCATAGGCAAAATTCTAGTGGAGCCTATGGAAATTTTACATAGGCAATGACTTTTTGATGGCCTTCTCAGAAAACAGAAAATATATTCCTCTACTGACTAGTTCTCTTCATAGAACAGAAAACATGATGTGTTTAGTAGTGACTGATAGGTCTGTGATTTCCATTCGAATCAGGGAAGATAACTGTAGCCATTAACTTAGGTCCTTTCAGGTGTTTTGATTTCTTCAGTTGGCACTGTGCTTAGCTATGTTTACTGTCATGCAATAATAGCATGTCCTGTGCTTTTCTTGTCTGCCATGCTTGTATTATTTTAAAATTATTTTGATTGTCCCCTCCTTAGTTTCACTTTTACTGTATTATACTACTGCTCCTTACTTTGTTTCTGAGACAGAGTAATTCAGTTTTATTACTGAATTTTAGTAAAGTTATCTCTGGATAAAAACAGCTTATAAACGTAACCTCTATTTCTTGTAGTTGTCATTCTTTTCCTTCCTCGTTATTCCTTGATTATTTCTTTTTAGATTATATGTATTGCTTATAAATTATTAATATATTTTTAGATCTTTTTATTTCTTTGGATTTCCCAATCCAGCGGTCCGTAACGTCCTTTTATTTTACATCTGCGTTCCTTGATGATGAGCTTATAGCTCCTTTCCCTCTCCCTTCTCTTCCATTTCCTGTATATTTTTTCTTGTTTCAGATGCTTTCAGCTATACTGCTTTAAAAATAATGATGAAGTCAATTTTGTAATGCCTACCATTTTTTTCACTTGAACAAGGCTTACATTACAGAAATTTAATTTGGTAATACAGCTGCTTATGAGCTAATCCTACTTTCCTTTCTTAGATGATTAACCCACTGATGTCATTGGACCTACTTGCTGAAGTAAGAAATGTAGAAATTGGCTTTAATTGTTCCACAGACATAATTACTTTGGAGCCATTACAATCAGATTCTTTCCCCCTTTTTTCACATGTAATTGTTTTCCTCATGCTCATTAACATCCAGCTCAGATTACATCACTGGTTGCTATTCCTACACATTTTTGGTATAAGAAACTATATTACATTATCTGAAATTATCCTCTTCACTTAGTCACACCTTTATATTTTCTTCCAGTCCAATCAGTGAGAGTCGAAGAGTACTGCAAGAATCATGTGAATTTTTCTTGAGGCACAATTCCAAAGTTAAGCATAAAAAGAAGCACTACAAATCCAGTTCGCACAAACTGAAAGTTATTTCAAAATCAATGGGGACTAGTACAGGTGGCACAGCAAATCACGGAACTTCTGCAGTAGCAATCACTAATCATGATTACTTAAGCCAGGAAACTGTAACGGAAATTAAAACATCTCCAGAAGCATCTGAGAAGGAGATGGAGGCAGATGGAACATCAACCCAAAAAATCGAGGAAGGTGAAAATTTGCGTGGAGATCCAATGTTATCTAGTTCTAAGCTGACCGTGGATCAGGTGGAAAAAAGAGGCAAAGCAGATAATACATGTGATATGAGTAGCTTGTCTGGGAGTATGAAGAGAATAGGTGAAGGAAGGTAAGACTCCTTAACTCAATAGTTGTGGTGCTTACTTGTACTATCACTACTTTTGTGTATTTTCTGTTTCTTCTTTCCCTGAAGAATCAGTATGCAATTAAGCTTCAGTAGCTCTCAAAAGAGAGTACAGTAATTCTTACAAATTTTTCCATATAGCCTCACAAATCTCACAGCTTCTATCATGTGGGATATTTCATCATTCTTTAAGATTTTTTTTTTTTTTTAAGTGTCAAGTGCTGGAGCTTTAGCTCTTAGGATGTTTTTGTATTGCTAAACAGTGATCTTTGAGATAGATTTAGGGTACGGTGCTAGAAAGGTCAGAAAAACATGCCATCCAACGGCATAGAGAAATCTGTGGCTGCAGTACAACCATTCTGGACGGTGACCAATCTGAAAAAGAGCAGTGGTGACTCCTAAGCTTGAAAAAGATTATACAGAACTGCACTGAAAAGAATATAGCTGGAGATATATTATCATTTTGTTACTACTAAATGTATTTGTTTTTCAGTCTAATGCATTGTGCTTAAAACTGACTTCCTGTGTTTTATTTTTAATTACTTACAGGATAACTCCTAAAAATGATTTTATCGACTCTCCTCCATTGCAAAGCAGCAGTTCCCAAATACCTGATGTCTCACAGTCTGGTTCAATGTCACTACTTGTCTACTCAGCTTCAGACAGCAGAAAAGAGTTGAATTCTGGAAACAGTTTAAACCCTTGAAAGATGGAAAATTTCATATGAACATTTTCAGTTTTTAAAACTGGTGAGGATTCTGTGTTACACTGGAAATAGTTGATATTCTGTGCCTTATTTAAAAAAAAAAGACACATATCTTGTTTTGCACTTATGGAAATGTAAGTTCTGTAATGGGGACAACTAGCAATAATGTACTCTATTTAATCCCATCCAGGAATAATGGAAACTAAAGTTCTACAGGACACAGCTGGATTGACTGGCAGTAATTTAAGAGAAAGAGAGGAGAGAAACAAATACTGTTCTCAATATTAAGAACACTTTGTAATAACTTGCATTAAAATGATGCATGGAAAGCAGTGTTACTTTTCGAGGCATAAAAGTTCCATCTGCATCTTTGATATTTTTCAGATTTTGTTGTTAACAATTCTTCTTTTAACTATATCTTAAAAGGCTGTATCACTTAAAATTGAGATACAAAGGTATAAATACTTTCGAAAGTATGTGTCTGGAGATATCGATTGTAGCACTGTTTTTATGGTAGTTTCTACACTGAATATGAAAGGAAATCTGGAATTATAGTGATTTATTTTGTACATAGAAATGAATTATGTAAATAACTGACTGCATAAGATCAATATTTAGAACTACTGTTTTGTCTGTATTGCACAAACTTGGTAAAGGTAATGTGCTTCCAGTAGATATTACTAAAGTCAACAGTCTTTTGATGATCGAACACAAAAAATACCTTTGTATATAATGTACACCATACACTGCACATCTGGGGGGAATACTGGTAAGACACCTGTGCATCCTGTTACAGGGATGGTACAATGGATGCAGCAGTGCTACCGAAAAATGCTTCCTTGAGCCCCTCCTGGTGTGGTGTTCCAGTGCATCATGCCAGACAAGATACCTGAAGACGTGGGGACAGAATCGGAAGTATACATTTTTCTGCTGAGCTGCAGTGAGAGTGTATCTGTTTCCCTTTGTTTCTATGCAACTGACTTGAATTTTTTTAAAATTCTGTGGAGAAAATATCTTGCAGAAAATAAATTTTGGAGTTAATATGCAGGCTTATTTAACAATATTTTTATTAAAACAAGACCGTAATGCTTTTTTTTTTTTTTACAAAGTTTAATTTTCTATATGCTATAGCAATATATTTTCTTTAAATTGAAAAGTCCTTAATACAGGTAGCCTTTTTATTGATAGGGTGGTTTTCAAGAGTAAGTACTACTGACATGGATAAGAGTTTCATGGTTTGGTGCTTTACAAATCTTGGCTCCACTGCAGTCAATGATGTGATTCATTACTTGAGTTAATTTGGAGCCAGGATTTTACTGTCTGTCTAACTCTAAAAGTTAAGTGCATTTTGTAAGACCGTTCAGCATCTTGCATATTTGTTATTAATAATAATATGGCTCTTAAACTGACATATTAATTTTGCTAGTAGGCAGAGAAACTACTCCATTCCAGTTTGTACAGCTTTCATGGTGATTTTGCTTTGACCAGTCAAGCAAAATTGCATAATACAAAGGTCATGTAAATGCTGATTCCGTAGGAAATACAATTCTGATAAACCAAAGTTTTATCCATCATGTGTTAAAATTTGAATGTATTCACCTTATATTGTCTTCTGCATTTTATCATTTGTAATTTATTGCTTTAAATAGGATGTGCCATTTCTTTTATAGTTTGCCCTTTACAAAATATATAGTATTCTTGCTGCTGAAAAGGACAATGAAAAAACTCTAAAATATCTTCTGTAAAAGTACACACTAAATACCCTTCGCTCTTGTAGTCATGTTTGTAAACGGAGAACTTTATACACACTTGCAATAGTTTTGGTATTATTGTCTTTGCTAGTAATAAAATATACTGTTGTATAGTAAGAGCTTCTGAGTTGGTATTTCTTATTAACTACATTTAGCGTGTTTACTGTTACACTACTATGGTATTTTTGCACCTAAGACTCTTTAATGTACAGCTGTCTGAGGTAATAAGTACTTCAGTGCTTTTATCCTTGTTGTTTAAGTGAGGAAGTGAGACAGAGAAAATTGATGTGAATTGTCCAAATGAACACAAAGAGTTTATGAAAGAGCGAGAAACTGAGCTAGTTCTTTCATCCTAATATTTAGAGCGTTCTTTCTCATAGGCTCTCTAGGTAAAAAGCTCCTTTAGTTTACAGAGAATATCTGTTTCCACGATACGATGTGGCTAAACTTTCATAAAATAAATACTGATATATTTTTTAAATTTACTTATTTGCTTTTTTAGGTAATGCAGAAAAAGTTATGCTTTTTGTAACTGCTATGAAGAAGATGAGTACAAAGAGAACTTGGAGTTACAGAGATGATACTTAAAAATAACTGCATTTTCAAAGAACTGTAAAATATTAACTAAACACTTGTCAGGACATTCTTTTAAAATGGAATCTATCAGTGGTAGAATTAGATTGTAGCGCTTGTGTTCCAGTACTGCTGTACTGCTGACAGAATGTGAATTCCCAAAGTAAACATTATAAAGAGATTGTCCGTGATTTCTGGATGTTTTAACCTGGAAATACCAAGTAGTTGCTGGAAAGGGAAGTAGTTATTGGAACAGCTACAAAAATGATGATGGGGAAAAAGAGTTGGAAAGGTTAAGAAAAGAGGTGTTAGGGATGAATCGGGGGGGATGAAAGGGTCTGGAAGATTGCCTTACAGCGATGGACTACGAAGAAGCTTATTAACATTGTTCTTTTTAACAGAGGGTGGTCAAGGTATTTGCTTGCATCTGCGATTTCCCACAAGTCATCGCAATCCAGTGGTTAAAACTGAAGATAGGCATTCACATTAAACGGGCTTTTTTTAAAACTGCAAGCATATTGGAACATCTCCATCTACCTACATCATTTAATCGAGACTGGACATCTTTCTGAAAGATGTACTATAATTCCAAGAATTTAAAATGTTGTTACAGCAATTATTGTTCTAGTTCTCCACCTTTGCAAGAAGCTAAAATAGAGGACACTAACAGTTCTTCAAGCCTTAAAATGTATGTGCCAAATGGTCTCTTCCTTCTCTTCTTTCTCTTACTGTGTCTCTGTTGTAACTCACCTCAAAATATGTATTATATTCGGTTTTCAAGTCACGTATAAAATGTTTCAGTGGACAAGATATATTAAATTTGATCTGTGATATAAACAGTGCCAGCAAATACTAATACAGTAGTTTTATGGTCTATTTTGTGTATACTCTATTTTACTGTTCTATTTTGCTAATCTTTTTAGAGAAAAGTGGGATGAAGCTTACCTAGAGTACAAAAGAAAGCTATGCAAATATTTGGAAAAAATAGTTCAAGTTTGCAGAAACGAAACAAGGACATTGGAAAAGGGTTTGTTGTTCTGTTTCTATTTGTAATATCTGAAAGGTAGTATTAGCAGTTTATAAGAAAAATGTCTGCAGTATTTAAAAATCTCTTTAAATCCTTTTACTTTTTCAAGCATCCAAAGAACCAATACAGATATGGAACACTAAATAGCTAAAACATTCTTTTTTTTTTTTTCTTTTGACAATTGTTCATCTGATTTACAGAGACCTGTGGGTCCTTTTTCTTCACTGGCCATAGAATATATATTTATATAAAATTCATGTTTTAAAGACAGTAAAGTTTCTTTTTAGTTGAATTTCAGAAGCTAAATCAGAAAATTAAATTTAAATATTGAACTTTAAAAAAATAAGTTTAACATGCTAAACAGCACTGAAAAATGCCATAGTTGAACAGGAAGAGGAATCATGCTTCCTTTGAATTTTGACCACCCATTCTCAACGCACAATTTCAGAAAGCTGCACATCAAAGGAGAACTGCTGCAGCCCTCAGTTGATGCTGGCTGCTGTGTTCAATAGGTCATTGAAGATGTCTGACCACTTTCTGTTTGGTTCTGTTCACTGGTCAAAATCTCTGCCAATACTAACCTCTGGTATTTGCAAAAATTTAGACGGCTGGCACCAAAGGTATTTTAGAGTCTCACAGGAATAAAAGTTATTTCCTGTCTTCCCTTTTTTTTGTTGTTTATTCTTTCACTCTTATTTTTGTCCCTTATCCTATTCATCCTTTTTTTTTTTCTTTAAGGACTAAAATGTTTAGAAATAGTTTTAAAAAATTAGGGAAGTTGAGCTACCTATACCACACCTTCATGAGCTGTCTATTTTTTATCTCTAGAAGTGGAAGTAGGAGTATCTTTCTGACGTACATCTATCAAATCCGTTTCTGTATATTAACCAGATTTTACTTCTTATTAACGAGTGTTTGAGACATCATAAAGTGTAATTAAAAGATTAAAAATATGCTATGACGTTTATATCTGAATTCTCCATTGTGCTTACTGCCTTCAATTTGTTCATCAAAACTAAAACTAACATAGTTTTGCTTTACTGCAAGCCTTACTAGCTAAATTAATAAAAGCACATATCTTTAAACCTGCAACAGTCAGCCATCATTAAATGACTCACAACTGGTTTCTCAGCACAAACAGGAGCTGGAAAGGAACAGGAGGCTGAAGATAATAATAGTTTCTGCCAGAAGAACTGTGTGGAAGAAAGCAATTTTTGTGGAAATAAAGTGCTAAATGGGCTCTCAATACCATTTGCTGGTGAACTGGAGGGATATTGATCTCCAGTCGAGAGAGTATATTCTCAAGTAGGGCAATGCTGCCACGGAAGAAGAACATCAGCTGTTGTCAGTGTTAGGGAGGAACA